GCTGGAGTATGTGTCTATTCTCTGCAATGAGCTCTCAAAATAACTATCAGTACCTCTACCACGACCGACTCTCTTATGATTTTCTGAATAAATCATTGAGAGGCAACTTGATGTAGCAGAAAGATCCTTGGACCTCCAAGAGACCTGAATTCAAGTCTTAGGTCTGCCATTTACTAGCTATGTGATTTTAGAAGTCATGTAACTTCTCTGTGCCAGTTTCTTCATCTTCAAAATGAGTCCTTTGTGTTTATATCTTCACATGTAGTAGTGGATGCTGCTGATGGCTTCCTCAGCATCCATTCCCAACTGTGCAGCAGGGACGATGTTTGAGGGGCACTGCCACTTTTACTTCTACAGTTAGGGGTGGATGCTCATTGTTCTAAAATCAAATAGTATTCCCTTGGCCCCTGGGCTTGGTTCAGCAGTGGATATGTGACTCAGTTTGGTTTAATCAAAATGAAGCCCAGGACTTATTCCTATGGTTGGGAGAGGAAAAGATCCTTTTTCTTTCTTGGTCTATGTAAATCAAATAGTATTCCCTTGGCCCCTGGGCTTGGTTCAGCAGTGGATATGTGACTCAGTTTGGTTCAATCAAAATGAAGCCCAGGACTTATTCCTATGGTTGGGAGAGGAAAAGATCCTTTTTCTTTCTTGGTCTATGTAAACGAAGAAGCATGTAGTCCTGGTTGTTACTGGCGATCATTTAATTGTGTTATTGTACAAGCACACCTAGTCTTAAGATGAAACTAGTACCATAAAAGGCAGAGTAGAGAGTAGGAAAGAAATGATTTTGGGTGATACTAGTGGGCATCTGGATATCAACTCTTGGCTAAACCCTATTGTCTCTGGACTTAACTCTAAAATAAATCAAGATTATGCTGTTTAACCAGTTTAACTTTTAATTTCTATACTTCAAGCACCCTAAGAGATAACACAGCCTAGACCTTCCAGCCCAAACCTTAATTCCCATCAACTCTAGCTTGTAAAAATCTCAAGTCTAGCTCAATCCAACAGCACATTTTCAATCCTACACATGGGCTGCTGAATACCTGTGGAAGAACTTTTCAAAATACTGAGTACAAAATTAATCTCCAACTTCAGCTGATCCTTTTCAATGCCAAAAATCTCTTCTATGAGTTTTTAGTGACTATTTTTCTTAGTAGCTATTTCAAACCTTTACCATTTTCAAATCTTTTACTCCATCTACTGAGTACAAAATTAATCTCCAACTTCAGCTGATCCTTTTCAATGCCAAAAATCTCTTCTGAGTTTTTAGTGACTATTTTTCTTAGTAGCTATTTCAAACCTTTACCATTTTCAAATCTTTTACTCCATTTATCTTCTTTCTTAGTCTCAGCTATGAATTTGACTCCCATGTCACAAAGAAATTAAAGACCTGCAGTTAAGATTTTTCAATTATCGATTGCTGCATAATAAATTACTTGAAAAGTTAGCAGCACAAGACAAATACCTATTGCCTCCAAGTTTCTGTGGGTCAGGAATGTGAGGGTGGCTTAGCTGGGTGCTTCTGGCTCAGGGACGTGAAGTTTCTGTTGAGATGCTGCCCAGGGGGTCTTCTGAAGGCCTGAGTGGGCAGAGGACTGGCTTCCGAACTCACTCATGCGGCTGCTGCCTGGAGGCCTCGTTTCCTCCCCACGGGGCCTTGCTGCAGGGCTGCTGAGTGTCCTTGCAACATAGCAGTTGGCTTTTCCCAGAGTGAGTCATCCAAGAGAGACAGAGCGCAAAGAAGGTGCTGATCGTGGTGCCTTTTATGGCCGAGTCAGACAGCATTACTTTCGCCATATTCTATTCATTAGAAACAAGTCACTAAACCCAGCCCATACTCAAGGGAAGGGGAAATAGTCTCCACCTTTTGGAGGGAGGAGTATTGAAGAATTTGTGGACATATTTTAAAGCCAACATACTTTTCAACTTTTCATCCCACCTGAAAACTTTTCCTCAACTGAACCCATGTTACTACATTGCTTCTCTTCTCAGCTGAAAGTTAATTCCTCCACTTGGCTCTGGATTTCATTCCTTCCTGCCTCTTTGCAACCAGTAATTTTCACTTCTTTCTTTAAACTTTAACCTCTCACCTTTTATTTGGTCTTCTTTTCTCAGCATATTAATATACTTGGGTCTCTTTTACCTTAAAAAAATCCTCCATCAACATGGGCCTCCAGAGACAGTTTGAACGGACTCAGATACACCGATTTAATTTTCTTTTCATGTAAATTCTTCTGTCTGAATTTCTACTTCCTCTTGCCTAGCTAACTTCTTCCTACTCCTTTTTCAGGCTTCAGCTTAAGTATCACTTCCTCAGAGAACTTCCCTTACCCTCTAATCTACATTTCATCTCCTCTGTTATATTCTCTCATTTTTCTTCAAAAATTCTGTTTTCATTTGCATGATTCTTTCCTGTCTACTGCCCTGGACTAAAAGCACCATAGGCTGGGGCTGTGTCTGCTATGGCCACTTGGTAGGCATTTGATAGGTATGTGTTATCATAACATATTATAATTGTCTATTTATTATCGTTTCTTTCCTGATCTATACTAATCTTGTAAGCAGGAGTTGAGTCTTACTGTTTGTAGTGTTGTGTAGCGTGTATGAATGAGAGGATTAGACTATACCAGAGCCTCATACTTGAATCACCTGAGGATCTTAAAATGAAGATTCTAGTTCAGTAGGTCTGGGGTGGGGCCTGAGAAGCTCCCAGGTGATGCTGATGCCACTAGTCCATGGACTACACTGAGTAGCAAGGAATGAGATTACTCTAAATCCTTCCTAGTTCTAACTTTCTATGATTCCATAAGCTACATAATTGAACAATGTAATTTATTTGACTTATTTCAAGTGAAATCCTTTCCAGATTTCTTTCTTTGGTTTAATCTGTACCATAAAATAACATAATTCAGTTCTTTAATTACTTGCTATTTCCTTGAGTCCTTTTTTGAGTAATCAGGCTTAGTTCCTGCTTTGTAAATCTCAAATACATGCCTCAAGTCACTGTGCAGCTCTTTGTTAGGCAGGGAGGCTTCTTCCTGTCCTGCCTCCCTCAGAGACGGCTTCTCGTGCCTTTACTCCTTCATCCTGAAGGAGTTCTTTATTATTAGTTATGTTTGTAGTGGAGCTTTCAAATTATCAATTAAAACTATTCAAGTTTTCTTGAAGTTAATTTGCTTTTCATGCATTCTTCTTTTCTTTATTATGGTAAACTCCTTCAGTTCATACCTCACCAATATGTATACTTAATAAACATTTCCTAGCTTGTAAGTTTCACAAAAAAATTCTTCCCTCTCTTTAATTTCTTCTCTTTTTGATAAAAGTCTCTGATGTAAGTACTTCCAACATTAGACATTTTGTCTGTGATTAAAACCAGATTTATTCATTCAACAAATAATTATTGAGCACACTCTATGTGGCAGGCACTGTAATAAGGCTTCATGCATGATCAGTCTCGGGCTGTGACAACATGATTCCATTGCTAGATAGGATGAGAGATGTATTCAAAGAGTTTTGATCAGAATAGACTTCCCACATACAGTATGATATTTTTATTATTATTCTGATTACCTGATCCTTACGCTTTTAACAACAAATGTAATTCAGTAACTACATTCACATTAAAAAAACAAAAGGTTTTATATTTAACAAGGATTAATGTAAACTTGTAGTTGAAAAATAAAAATTATATAAAACTGTAGAAAGGATAGTAAATTTGGACTTGCAAATTTATTTTTTAATTTTAGGACTTGTAAATTTAAACACTGCAAAGACTGTACCTGATGGCTTTAATAATTAATTGAATATAACTCTGGCTCTGAAAGTTTAAACTGATTTTAATTATATGAAAAAATATGACTGTAGATAATTAACTAAAAATATGACTGTAGAAATTAACTTTCTCTATAAAATGGATGCTTATTTAGTCAGTATATAACTAATTATTGTTCCTACAAATTTACAATTACTAACAAAAATATTATTAAGACAAGTATTCTTAAAAATTAAATATTATTAAATATTATTGTTTAAAACCACTGTCAAATGAGCAACTGCCAGTTTCATGCCACACTAGGGAACAGTAATCTCTGTAGGCTTATGCAGTTTAACTTTCATTGGAATTCTGAATCTTGGGAGGGTTCTTCCATCCCAAGACTGTGATTAAGATTAGCAAGGTATACATCAGTGAGGTAAACTAATATGCAGTTCTGTATTATTAATATAATAATCAATTCTATCAAAGAATTATGTGAAAGTAAATATCTATGTGAAAAATGAAATAGTATCTATAGAATGTGGCTGAACATTAAAATATGTCTATTGAAATTGTTTTGAACTGGGTATAGAGTAGAGAAGTTGAGGGGATAAAATGTCTTACTGAGCAAAATCTCATTTAGATATACTAAATTTCTGCTCCTGATCTCAGCAAATACTGAATTTTTGACTTTGGTCTCAATGTTATTATTAATATAAACTTACCTAGTGTCCTGTGAAATTCACTATTATGCAGATATTTTTTACAGCTATCTGAATACAGACATACAAACTCAGCTACTTAACTCACCCATTTCTCCAATTAGCAGTTATGGTTATAAGAATGAAGAGATAACTAAATAAGTTTCATATTGCATTTACTAGAATTAGGAAATAAAAACATTCATAAAAGTAATATACACTTAAAATTGACTCCTTTTGCAATAATCTGAAATCTATATAATTTTGTGGAGAAAGAGGTCACTACAATTCACTCTAAAAAGATTTACAAGTCTACACTGATAATTTTATAATTCTATAAAGAACTGGAGAAGCACTTTTCAAAATACCAAAGATAGAAAGTAGAAAAAAGGCTTAAAACAAAACCTAGCAGGTAAATTATTCAACATACAAAAGATGTAAAAGAAAACATTTGGTAAAATAGACTTTTGTTTCTATTTGTAAATAAATCTTTGATGACAGTCAATGCTTAATGTGATTTTTATTTTGTTTTTTGTGGCTGGCTGGTACAGGGATCAGAACCTGTGACCTTGGTGTTACCAGCACCACACTCTAACCAAGTGAGCTAACCAGCCAGCCCACTTAATGTGATTTCTAAGAAGTAATTAACATTTGCTTAGGAGAAGCAATATAGCTTAATAATTAAAGCATATGATCTTCACTGGGGTCTTGATTTCTAAATACCATTCCCCACTAAAAGGAACCAGGGTTCCTGAGAGAAATGTGCTGATTCCAGGGCTGGGCAGGGAAGCTATAAGATGAGCCTGAAACATCGTCTTGTGCCAGAAAATAAGGAAGTGTTCAAAAAAAAAGAGAGAAATCAGAAAATGGGGGCATGTCAATAGGCCAAATCTGGGGGAATTTGAGGATGAAAATAAATAAGGACAATAATGGATTATAATCCATTAAGTAGGAATGTCTGAGCTTAAATGGGGGAGGAGGGGAGATCTTCCTTACAACAGAATGCCCACTGAAAAACGTGAAGAGAGTGGGGAAGTGGCAGGACTGGAATACCACTGTTTTGAAACCATCATAGCAAAAACTGTTTTGGGCATGGGTCATCAATGAATATTAAGTGTAAGGTTGGGGAGCAGGAGTCTTTTTTTTTTTTTTTTTTGTCTTTTTCCGTGTCCGGCAACAGATCGCAACCCTCAGTGTCGCCCCCGTACCGGACCGGGACCGGCAACGGGATCGCACCCCTCGGTGTTGCTCCCGCGCCGCGCTCAGCCAGTGAGCGGGAACCGGTCTGTAGGTGGGGTGCGATCCCTCGGGCGGGAGCGCTGCCGCGCTTCCCAAGCGGCGCACTATCCAGTGCGCCACCGGGCCGGCCCTGGGGAGCAGGAGTCTTTTTTTTTTTTTTTGTCTTTTTCCGTGTCCGGCAACAGATCGCAACCCTCAGTGTCGCCCCCGTACCGGACCGGGACCGGCAACGGGATCGCAACCCTCGGTGTTGCTCCCGCGCCTCGCTCAGCCAGTGAGCGGGAACCGGTCTGTATGTGGGATCCGAACCCTCGGGCGGGAGCGCTGCCGCGCTTCCCAAGCGGCGCACTATCCAGTGCGCCACCGGGCCGGCCCTGGGGAGCAGGAGTCTGATGAGGAGTAGGCTGTTTGCACAATCTCAGAGTATCTCCTTATAGATTGCTTTATTAGTTGCAAGAGGAAAAAATAACTAGTTATTGGAGAAACTGGACAACACCTTGACTGGATGATCAAAATTAACATCCCCAGGAGCCTCTGGATGTGACTTCCTGAGAAGGTCACAAGCCCAGTTTTATAGTATTTATGGCCAGGGATACATTTATCTGAATGAAATCATTACAAAACATGAGACAAACCCAAGCTGAGCTTGGGCATTCTGGGTATAGAGACTAGCATGAGCAAAGGGCCAAAGCTGGGGAAAGTGTGTGCGTGTTGGGGGATATTTTTGGAGAGTAATGAATAGTTTAGGTCATCTGGGGCAAAGAATACATAGAAGGGGGGAAGGAATAAAATGATAAAGGTAGGTTGGGGTCATAATTTGGAGGGTTTTGCATGTTGGCTGAATTAAACTTTAATACAGAATATAAAAATTGATTTTATTATACATAAATACTAAAGAAAGAGCTTTAAAGAAAAGTGTTCACATATAATAAGATCAATACACATATAGTTTTTTAGAAAGAATTTTAACATGGTACTAAGTATCAAAGTCCATTTTCATTCTTCCATTCATGCAGTTGGTGGACTAAGCACTGACTGTGCCCTGGCACAAAGCCAGGTGCTGAACTACTGTGGTAAACAAGACAGTCTCGGGCTCTGCACTGTCAGAGCTTACAGTCCCACAGTTTTTAATTTTATTAAAATTTTAAAATTTTATTTCAGGGCCGGCCCGTGGCTCACTTGGTAGAGTGCGGTGCTGATAACACCAAGGCCGCGGGTTCGGATCCTATATAGGGATGGCCGGTTTGCTCACTGGCTGAGTGTGGTGCTGACAACACCAAGCCAAGGGTTGAGATCCCCTTACCGGTCATCTTTTAAAAAAAAAAAAATTTTATTTCAAATGGTTTCTGAGTCCATGCCTAAGTGTTATCAGTTCTCTTTCCTTGGTTCCCTACTTTTAAGGGTATATGTAGCACTGAAGCTCCTACTTTCTTAACATGATCATTTAAGTCAACTGCTCGACAAGCATGGGCTGGTGTGCCTCTCCTTGTGCCAAGAACTGTGATGTGAATTTACAAGAGGTCTGTCTGAAGAAGCTTACATCCAAATTGGGGAGATAAGAAAGATAAGAGTTACAGTTAGAAATAATTATATATCAAGGTAAGGCAGTAAATACAAATGTATCTAACACAAAATTATAAATGGAATGCATAGAGAGAAGGAAGAGAAAAAAAGCAGGCAGTGATGGTCTGGAAAGGCTTAATGAAGAATGGGATGTGAGCTGAGAAGGGTTCAGATAAATGACGAGGAAAGACACTACTGAGTATCTCAGCAGAAGGCACTACAGAGTGGTCGACAGAGGCTTGGCCAGAAACTGGGCACACTAGGACTCTAATCCTCTGGAACCTTCTTGGACTTCTTATATACAATGAGAGAATGGATTAGAATGATTTCGAAGCTCTGCTGGTATTCTATGAAACTCTATGGAGCTTATCTTGGAGTGTATATTGAAGAGATGGGGGCCTGAGGATTAACAGGAAGCAAAAGATTCTGTGGTAGTTTAAATATGAAGGATTTGAAAAACAAACAAACAAACAAACAAATAAATAAATATGAAGGATTTGGAGTAGGGGGAAGAGGGTAGGAGACTTTCATTTCTCCAAGGAATAAATTCATATCCACTATTTTTACAAATTAAGTGTACTAAATCTTCTGGCTTAAAATATTTACATAGCTCCCTCCTTTACCTTGTCAACTGGCACAAAATAATTCTAGAAGTATGTGGTCCAAAGAATGTTTCCAGAGAGGTAGATGTAGAAAGAACTTTGGGCTTAAAAGTAAGAATTTTAGGTACTAGCTTTGGCTCTATCATTTATTAGCTGTGTGGTATAAGACAAATCACTTAAATTCTCTGAACCTGAGATTCTGTAGCTTTTTTTTTTTTTTTTTGTCTTTTGTCTTTTTTCCGTGTCCGGCAACGGATCGCAACCCTCAGTGTCGCCCCCGTACCGGACTGGGGACCGGCAACGGGATCGCAACCCTCGGTGTTGCTCCCGCGCCCCGCTCAGCCAGTGAGCGGGAACCGGTCCGCATGTGGGATCCGAACCCTCGGGCGGGAGCGCCGCCGCGCTTCCCAAGCGGCGCACTACCCAGTGCGCCACTGGGCCGGCCCGAGATTCTGTAGCTTTAAAATAGGGCAAGCATACCTACTTCACAGGAATGCTTTAAGGATAAAATGAGAAAATGATTGTGAAAGTGATTTGTAAGCTATCAAGTGCTGTACAAATGTATTTCTACATAAGAGATATAAAAATTAGACAAAATTGGCTTGCTTTTTGGCATTTTATCCATCCAACTAAATGCCCACTATGTGCCAAGCACCATGGTGAGCCCTGAGGATGGTATGACAGTCTCTGCCTTCACAGAGTTCCTCTTCTAGAGGGTTAGACAGACACAAGTTATAACGTGTTGTTGCAATGTTCTTATGAGAACACTGTGGACAGAGGTATCATAGTTAAAAGTCTTAATTTAAAAACAACTTCATAGTTCAATTATTTGTCTAACTTGAAATCTTTTTTTTTTTTTTTCCTTTTTGTCTTTTTTTCGTGTCTGGCAACGGATCGCAACCCTCAGTGTCACGCCCGTACCGGACTGGGACCGGCAACGGGATCGCAACCCTCGGCGCTGCGCCCGCACCTCGCTCAGCCAGTGAGCAGGAACCGGTCTGTATGTGGGATCTGAACCCTCGGCGGGAGCACCGCCACGCTTCCCAAGCAGTGCACTGTAGCAGTGCACCACCGGGCCGGCCCTAACTTGAAATCTTATAAAGCATTTAAAGTCATTCCTACAGTAGTCAAATTCATAGAGGCAGAAGGTAGAATGATGGTTGCCATGGCCTCAGAGGAGAGGAAAATAAGTAATTAGTGTTTAATGGGTACTGAGTTTTAGTTGGGGAAGTTAAAGTTCTAGAGATGGTTGGTAAAGTTGCAAGATGATGTGAATATACTTAATACCACAGAACCATACACTTAAAAATGGTCAAAATGGTAAATTTTTATGTTATATATATTTTACCACAATTAAAAAAAAAGAATTTAAACTCAATCACAGCAAATCTTTATATTAGTACTCACGAAGGAGCAATATCCAAATGGTTGATGCTAAATCCAGAAGAGCAAAAGCCTCCCAATGTTGTTGATATGGTTAGAAATGCAACAGCCAAAGAATAATCACAGCCTATAAATCCAGCAGCTACCAGGAATACTGCAGGTCCAATCATTCCTGGAGTTAAAAAAAGTCATAAAAGAAAAAGAAGCCCCAGCATTAATATTTGCTCTATCTTAATATAGTATAAATTTGAAATTTGACATTGCCGCCACCTACTGTAGAAACATTGTACTGCCTGGAAGACTCTAAAGATGTAGTTTCATGAAAAAAAACTGCTGGAAAACATATGGGCATAATATAACTAATATAATAGTAAAAGGAAAATTTCATTGTGCAATGTTATTACATGTACATGTAACCAGGACCCAGCTAAAGTTCTACAGCATTAGAGAAAAGGGCAAGAAAAGCAACCGAAGAGATATTGTTCTGGAGGGAAGCAATAACTGACACAGAATGTGATTTAAAATTCATATAGCCAAAGAAGAAAAGCTAAATAATAAACTCTGTTGGAAGAAGTTAGAAAAATACTTCATCTTGGTTTTAACAATTGGTAATGATATGCATAGGTCATTACAGGCAGTTAAGCATAAAATATGAGTTACATAGGAAGGGACTTAATGAGCGGGCTGTCAGGCTTTCTCCATATCCGTAGCAGTGCTATCCAATAACTCTCTGATGATGGAATTGTTGTATTTGTATATACTGCAACTGAGGAACTTGTATTTTAATTTCAATTCAATTTAAATAGCCACATGTGGCTAGTTGCTACCATACTGTACAGAGCAAGTACACAGAAAATCAAAAAAGAGAAAATCAGATTCAATCTAAAGGATTTATTTTATTTGCAGATGTAGAACCAAAGTAACTAAGCAGTGGAACAGGATAATATCTTCTAGTGGTTGGTGCTCAGCAGGTGTTTGCAGAATTAACCTAAATAGGGTCCTTTTACAATGTAATTACCCAAGTGTAGCCATCAATGACTTCCAGGTTCTCTAGTTACTGGAGACCTTTAAAAAGTTGAATAATTGTCTTAGTCTGAAATTTTATCTTCCCAAAAGCAGAGTCTAAACACATGATTATTCAAGATTTCCTTGGGTTCTTTGAGTTACAGCTTTTCAGTTAATACAATTATGTTAGTAAATATTTTTGGATTGATACTCAAAATGTATTCACTTAGAAAAGGGATGGAGACATAAAAATATTTTTATTTCAAACTCAGAGGTGAAAATAAAGTGATTTATAAAATTTTGGGGGTGGGCTGGCCCGTGGCTCACTCGGGAGAGTGCGGTGCTGATAACACCAAGGCCGTGGGTTTGGATACTACATAGGGATGGCCAGTTAGCTCACTGGCTGAGCATGGTGCTGACAACACCAAGCCAAGGATTAAGATCCCCTTCCTGGTTATCTTTTACCAGTTAGCTCACTGGCTGAGCATGGTGCTGACAACACCAAGCCAAGGGTTAAGATCCCCTTCCTGGTTATCTTTTAAAAAAAATAAATAAATAAATAAAATTCTGGAGATGATGTTCAGCAAAGCAAGCCATTTTTTGTAGCTATAAGCTATGGTGGAGATAATAGGGCATTATAAATCTTTTTTTTGGGGGGTGGCTGGCCGGTATGGGGATCTGAACCCTTGGCCAGTATGAGAATATAATACTATGCTCTAACCAACTGAGCTAACTCGCTAGCCCTGATATTATAAATCTTAATCCTCAAAATGCATGGTTCAAAAAGAACCATCTTATACAGAAATGCACTAAATGCATCAGTGTTTTAATATGTGAACAAAATAAATGACTAATATGAACATTTTTATTTTACCTTGTGCTGTTGTGATATTATGATACACTAAGAAATATATATTTGGATTTTGCCCCTGGTTATTGGCACACTGCTCCTCAAACACTTGGAATCTCTGGAGTGATAAGATTGTTTTTTGTATACTAATGAAATGATTGGTGGCTGGGGGCTCCTATGTAGCTTCAGGATGGGGGTTGGTCACTGGAAAGACCAAGCCATTATTAGAGGGTTGGGACTTTCAGCCCCACCCCCCAACCTCCAGGAGAGGGAGAGAGGCTGAAGGTTGAGCTGAACACCAATGGCCGATGATTGTATCGATCATGTCTCCGTAATGAAGACTCCATAAAAACCCAAAGGACAGGGTTGGAATGAGCTTCTGGATAACAGATCATATGGAGGTTCCTGGGGAATAGCACACCCCGAGAGGGCATGGAAGCTCCTTGCCCCTTCCTCCACACCTTGCCCTATGCATCTCTTCATCTGAATCCTTTGTAATATCCTTTATAATAAACCGGTAAATGTAAGTGTTTCTCTGAATTCTGTGAGCTGCTCAAGCAAATTAACTGAACCTGAAGAGGGGGTCATGGGAATCCTGATTTATAAACTCTCGGTCAGAAGTACAGGACACAACCTGGGACTTGTGATTGGCGTCTAAAGTAGGGGACAGTCTTGTAGGCTGAGCCCTCAACCTGTGGGATCTGACACTATCTCTAGTAGGTAGTGTCAGAAATGAATTATAGGACACCTAGCTGGTATCTGCTGCAGAATTGGTTGTGTGTGGAGAGAAATCCCTACACACATTTTGCTGACTAACAGTGAACTGTTCTGTGTTGAGTATTGTGTTAAGTGTGTGTGAGAGTGGAAAACACATTTTGGTTTTTTCTTATCTCTAACAACTATAAACAGAGTAAATAATTGTAAACCCAAACAAAACCTGATTAACTTCACTTACCTATAAGGCTAAAAACTCTTCGAACACATATAGTTGAAAAGTTCCATTTTGCCCTTAAATTGTCAGCAACTTGACCAGACAGGATCATACATAACCAACTGCCAAAATAAGGAACCGCAGATAAAAACCCATTCTGGAAGGAATAAGAAGATACAAGATTAATTATGGTGGGTGGAAAAAACAAAACACACACACATTACAGGCAACCACCACAACTTGAAAACAAAGGAAACATAAGGGTACTTCACAATGTTTGTTGGAAAAACAGAATTAAAAGATAACACAATCTTTCCATGAACCTTTTGAAGTTCCCTTGTACATAGCAATATGTTATTAATTTTTATATTATTACAGTAAATAAGTTTGGCTTTTGGAAGGATTGCTGGATTCAGTTCAATGCAGTCCTTAAGAGACGGTCTCAGAAGGAAACAATGCTTACCAGTCCTGTCTCCTCAAGGTAATCTTGACTGATACCTTGAGATTTGGATTGTGGGAGAAGACAAGGCTTCCTATTAGCCTGTGGATTCTCCCCATTGAACAGTTTTTGTCTTCAATTTTCACTTATTTATTTAGAATTTTTTTTCACCATAAAATAAAATGCAGATACAGAAAATCACACAACTCAAATGTATAGCTTAATGAATGTATTCTAAGGACTGTCTAGGTCAAGAAATAGAACTTTGCCAGCCACCCCAGAAAGCCCTCCATGGTCCTGGTCCAATCACAACCCCTTTTCTCTCCCCATAAATAAACATTATCCATGTTATAGTATGTAGTAATTACATACATTTACTTATAGTTAAATTATCCAAATGTGCATCCCTAGACAGTATAGTTTAGTCTTGACCATTCAAAAAATTTTGATATGTCTTTTAGGTCTCCTTTAATCTTTAAGTTCCGTTCCATTCTTTTTTTTTTTTTTTCTTACAATTTATCTATTAAAGAACCTAGGCCACATTTTATTTACTTTTAAAAGATGAGTGCCAAGTTAAAGTTAAAACCATAACTCAAAGAAACTATCTTAAAGCTGAAAGTGCGTTACATATTTTCTTACATGCACACAGATATATACATACACACACATATATGTGTGTGTGTGTGTGTGTGTGTGTGTGTGTATATATATATATATTTTTTTTTTTTTTCCAAGACCAGTGAGGGTATCTTACATGCACACAGATATATACATACACACACATATATGTGTGTGTGTGTGTGTGTGTGTGTGTGTATATATATATATATATTTTTTTTTTCCAAGACCAGTGAGGGTATCTTACCCCTTGACTTGGTGTTGTCAACACCACGCCCACCCAGTGAGCTAACCGGCCATCCCTATATGGGATCCGAACCCGTGGCCTTGGTGTTATAAGCACCGCACTCACCTGAGTGAGCCACGGGCCGGCCCTACGTATATATTTAACAGAACCTGGGAGTCCTTCTTATTTCACCTCCAATCACCAAGCACTGTCTGTTCTACTTCCTTTAAAAAAAGCCTCATCTTTCTGCTTCTCTCCATGTCTATTCTTCCTCCACTCCATTCTGAGATCTTATCTCTTGCCTGGGCTACTACAGCAGCCTCCTAATTCCTGCCTAGATCTCTCATTACCAACATCAACCTTTCCATTATCTACTTCATGCTTCCCACTCTGATTACCACCTATCTTTCCAGCTCATCCCCTCTAGTACCTGGCCATAATCCATTGATCCTACCACTTCTTTACTCTCCCTCAACTCTTTATTGTCCTCGGCCAGTACCAATTCCATGGTAATATCATTATAATTACTCCCTTACATAGGCCCTTGACTCGCACCCCATCTTACTCCCTTGGTAAAACCGTCACTCTAGTTAAACCAAACTCTTATCCTACTCTGTACTCGCACTTAAGCAGCCGAATGTGGCTAGAACACACGTGACCATGCTTACCTGTCTTCCTTTAGATCCAGGAGCATGAACCTCAAGTGGGCCTCAATGTTACCAGTTCTCATACTCTCCCCGGTTCATTCTCTTACTTAGTAGTGACACATCTAGGTGACTTTTCATACAGTGTTCTCTTGCCTCACCCACCCCCAGCACCTCCTCCCTAGGGGTGAACCCAAATTTTTAAATATAAGTGTGCTTAAGAAAGGGAGATTTAATTTTTTAATCATAGTTTGTGGTCCTCTATCTATATTCAGATGTTGTAGACTTCCAGTTCTGCTTCTGTATCTGAAGATAGTTGCTTCTTTCAGGTGTTTAGCTGAAAAATTTCCTCTATAAATTTTATTCCATTTAGACTTCTACATAATGGGATCACACGGTTAAAGGGGATACCAGGCAAAAGACACCTTGAATCAAGAGTTAACACACACTGAGGAAAGAAGGAACAACTGTGGAGGCCAAAAAGAGAAGTCTCTAAAATTTAGTACAGCAGAGTAAAACGGAAGATACAAAATAACTAAATTTCATATAGATGAAAACAAATTCTGTGTGTAGTTTTAAAATATATACTCTATACAAGAAGCAGATGATTATTTTTCTTACCTCTTGAACATTAAACCTTAAGATCTCCTTCATATAAGTAGGCAACAATGTCAATAAAGTGTAAAAAGTCCAGTTGTAAGAAAAATGTGCAACCACAATAGCCCAAAGTGGTAGTGATTTTAACATGGGTATCCACGGCACTGACTTCTGTGAAGAAAGCTAAAGAAAACAGGCACAGCTACGATAAGCTAGAGCAAAACTGTATAGTCTTCCTAAAAGGTATAAAGGAGAAGCGAAACAGTTGTAAAATATGCTATTCTCGAATTAAGAACAAAATCCAAAACAATATCAGACATATAGGAAAGAAAACCTCAATAAGTGAAACGGTAATGTTTTTTCACAATTCATTAAAAAGACATCTTCAAAACAGAGTAGGAGTTGATGACCTTAAAGCACTTGCTAGTTACAGGTGGCCTATCCATGAGCTAGCCATGGGATGGCTTTCTGAATTTAACTGCAAGGTACCCTGAAGATTGCATTCCTTTTTTTGTAGCAATTTCTGAATCAGAATTAGAACTACATATGCTGTCAGTTTTAAAATCTTCTTCTTGTAAGAAAAGAATTTCTGCCTATAAGTACTGACCTTTTCTTAGCCAGATAACTCAGAAAGCATTCTACTTGGAACTCCTGCTTGTCTGGCTCAGACCTTCCCTCCACATTTCCCTCCTTCCTGTCAGCATAAACTATCTAAAATGTAAACCTGATTCTGTCACTTCACGTTGACAAACACTTTATGGGACCTAGTACCTACAGGACGAAGTCTGAGCTCCTTAGTGAGACATCGAGGACCCTCCATAATCTGCCTTCTGCTGGCCTCTTCCATCTCCTGCAGCTCTTTGCCTTTGCCTTATATGTGTCAGCAACACATAACTGCTGCACTTCCTGAAAGATATCACTCTCCTGTGCCTTTGCTCAAGCCATATGGTTAGCCTGGAGTGTCTGCACATCTCTCACTCTCCCAATTTGCCTGCTTAACTCCAACTTCCCTTTTATGACTGTTCTGATACAGCTTCCACCAGCGAGAAAGCAAGCAAACAGTCCCTAGCTGCTGTCAGCTGGGCTGGCCCCTGGCGCTAATAGCTAGGCCATGGTGTCCTCATCTTGAACCTAAACAAGGCCACACAGAGTGAGTATGACCGAGCAAGACAAAAATAAGACCACTCCATAATCATGTCTGAGCACAGACAAAAACAAGAACACTGTAAACTGCAGAAAAGAGCAAACATCTTCCTCTGTCAGCTAATGAGTGCCTGCTGTGTCTTTACCAATCACAGCTTCTGCCCTACCTTCTAGACGTCTGAGCACAGACAAAAACAAGAACACTGTAAACTGCAGAAAAGAGCAAACATCTTCCTCTCTCAGCTAATGAGTGCCTGCTGTGTCTTTACCAATCACAGCTTCTGCCCTACCTTCTAGACAAAAATGAAGATACTCAATCAAGAATTGCTACTGCTTTCTAGGAGCACCATATCCAGAGCAAAACATTGATTCTTTAAACCCTCCCCAAAGTCACCTAATACAAGACTAACCTTTAGCAAGCTCCTCTCTTTGTCCCTGAGGAACTATGGTTCCTGATGGTGTGCTTTCTCTCTCGTGGCAATGAACCGTGAAACCCAGCTTGGTTCAACTACAGGTGAGTTCCTGATGGTCTTTGGCTAGAAGGCACTGACCCCAGAAAGCTTTTCCTATCTGTGCCGGGCTGGCTGATGACCCCTCCCTTCTCTGGTCTGAAGATGTACTGTGTACCTTATAGCACTGCATTATGCAGGCTATATTATATTGAAATTCTGTCCATCCATGCCTGTTTCCCTCTGGAGACCACAGACCCCAGAAGAATCATGTCTTCTTTATTTTTTCCCTCTTTATTTTTTTGGTGGGCTGGTTGGTATGGGTATCTAAACTCCTGACCTTGGTGTTAATAACACCATGATCACTGGCCAGCTGCCAAAAAAACAAACCAAAAAACCACCATGCACTGAATCAACTAACTAGCCAGCCCCTTGTTCATTTTTAAGTCCTCAGTATCTTACAAAGAACCTTGGATATAGTCATTTCTCAAAAAAATGTTTGTTTAAAAAAATGAATGAAATACAGTAGATGGTGTACATTTCTTGGATCCAAGATTTAAAGGTGGGAGCTTCACGTAACGCATCATTATTTTATGACATTTTCAACTGCAACATCAACTGCTCTAAGAATGCAGCCTGAGGTTCTATTAAACTAATCTTCCTAACTCCTTTTGCCTCTGAATATTCTATTTTCTGAAGCATTTGGAAAAACAACCTAGATTTGAATATTGGACAGATTAAGACACATGTCAAGGTAGAGAAAGCTTTTTTAAAAAATCTAAACAAATTAAAAAGTTTCATAAGTTCATAAAAGTAATGATAAAAATGAAGTATTAGAAGAAGCGAGCTGTTAACTATCAATGCTGAGAAATTGTGACAAAACATGTCAAGTTTTACATGGCAAGACCTGTTCATAACGCATTAAATACTTTTGATTTGTTCCTTGAGGGAAAAAAGTGGGTGACTTATTTGATTAACATTATAGAGGACACTAAACTCCCAAAGTAACTTTCTTTATTACATTGCTGATTTCTTCTAAGTTTTTCCCAATCTTTGGCAAAGACCAAGAGATGTCATATTTCTTAAAAGTTCAGCAGCTTGTGGAGACATTTGTAGTAAAATTTAAAAACTTAAATGTTGGGCCGGCCCGTGGCTCACTCGGTAGAGTGCGGTGCTGATAACACCAAGGCCCCGGGTTCGGATCCCACATAGGGATGGCCGGTTTGCTCACTGGCTGAGCGTGGTGCTGACAACACCAAGTCAAGGGTTAAGATCCCCTTATCGGTCATCTTTTTAAAAAAAAAAAAAAAAAAAATCTTAAATGTTAACAAGTAAATTTTTAATTACTGCCTGATTATACAGTATATAAAAATTAAAAATATCAACCATGATAACTTAATGGGCAAGAAAGGTTTTACATGAAATATTTTATGTTCATAAACTAATAAAGTGAATTTGAAGCCAATAAAAATGCTAAAAACAGACTATATATTTTAATTTTCCCTAATGTTTTTATGTTCCTTTTTTTTTTGGTGGCTGGCTAGTATAGGGCTCAAAACCTGGACCTTGGTGTTACCACCACTGTTCTAACCAACTGAGCTAACTGGCCAGCCAGCCCTGTTATTCTTTTATTCCACCCTAAAAACAAGTATTTTGTTTCCATGACTTGAGAATTTAGTGTATTGAATTATGACAGACTTTTATTTCTGATTTGCTTTTGTGCTTGATTAAGTGATAGAAATCTAGTTTGTGTATTTTTATAAATAAAATTTTATGTAAATTTTTCCTAAAGATAACCTACTCTTGAAGAGCAAATAGGCGTATATCATATTATTCATCATAAGAAATGCGCCATCCTCCTTATTAAATCACACTTATTTATTCATTTATTTTATTTTATTTTTTATTATTATTTTTAAAGATAACCGGTAAGGAGATCCTGACCCTTGACTTGGTGTTGTTAGCACCATGCTCACCCAGTGAGCTAACCAGCCATCCCTATAAGGGATCCGAACCTGTGGCCTTGGTATTATCAGCACCACACTCTCCCGAGTGAGCTACGGGCTGGCCCCCAAATCACACTCATTTAAAATACAGATATAAACACACTAGTTGGTTTTCTAACAACTAATGGTCAGAATGTATGAGATTCCTTTCATAAATAACACATTTTATTATCTACTAATGAAGAAGAAAAAACAAACTTAATTATTATTCTAAAAGGTTTAAAATGACATAAAAAAGTAGTTTTAATCTAGAAAGAATTGGAATTCCTCAGCTGACACTTCATACATTTATATAATTTGTCTATTCTACTTTGCCTAAGTCACGCAAAGTAGAAATATCTATTTTAAAAAACTGGTATCTTACTTCTGAAGAAAAAAATGTTCTGAAATTATTTTTAAAATGTGTCAAAGTCCATACCTGATTTTTTAATGATGAAAGAATGTATTCCTTCTCATAATGGGAGATTCTCTTGTGAGTTTCTGGTGTATCGCTAACTAGCCAGATCCATAAAATAAACCAAAATATTCCAACCATACCTTTAAATAGAAAAATAATAGTTAAATAAAATTAAAATGTACCAGTAGCAAGTTTTACACATCTTGAAAAAATCATGTAACTATAAATTCAATATAAAATTGGTTTCAGTTTAGATTCAATTTCAAGTTTCTCTCAATTCTTTAATGGGATAATTGCTGTAACTGTATAATTTCCTACATATTTGGAAAAAAACCCCACTTTTCACCACAAGATTCTACTTATCAGTGTCTATCAGACAAATCTTTTTGAAAATACATTTCCACAAGTTATATATTTCCATAGGTGTGTTTTTGTTTGTTGATTTGTTTTTGTTTTGATTGCAGATATATTTTCTACAGGATGTATATAATCCTGCCAATAAAATGCCCTGGGACTAAATAAAAAGAAAAAAAGTTTAAAACTGCTAAGTGAGAGCATCCTAGTTTGCTTGAGAAAAAAATATTTTCAAAATACACATTTTTATAATACCAAGATAGCGATTTTTGATAGTAAATGTGCCATTTAAGTCCAGGATTCAATAATAGTTTCTACTGGGAAATATTCCAAAATTAACATCAGGTTATAATTCATTTGAACTCATTTTAACCATATTAACCAGAAAAATAGGTTATCAGTAAGTTTTTTAGAACTTTATGGTTTAGGAGATGATTACTTCAGTGAACTGGAATACATACATGTATGTATATGTGCGTGCGTGCGTGCATGTGTGTGTTTGTGTGTGTGTGTGTGTGTGTGTGTTTTGTTGGCTAGCCATTATTGGGGATTTGAAGGAATATGTATTTTTAACTAATTATTAGACTATTTCATTTTGGATTTGTAACATTATAATTTAGGTTAAATTTTTAAACTTACCAAAAAAGTAGAAGACATAAGTCCAATTCATATAGTAGCAAATTATTCCAGAAAGAGGAAGAGAAATTACTGTCCCAAGCTGCGCTCCTACAACAACACATAAGACTTTATAAACTTTGGAGAGATGTGAACAAAGAAGGGATAGATCTACTGCTTAAACAAGATAGGTTACAGATGATGAAGAAAACAAAGAACTACTCAAATCCAAAGGAACTGAATTAGACACATGTAAATATAAACAATTCTCTTGAGATAGTTTACTAGAAAACCTATAATATGTAAAACATATATGTTAATATGTATTTACATTAGTTACAACTATGTAATTATTGATTAATTAGGAGGCAATCAATAAAAAACTTATTATAAGATAGTAATTGCCACATGTGTTAGAAATTCAGTCATCTAGGGAAATGGTAAAAGATGGTCTCTAAGGCTGATAAACACAACTTACTGCACCATATTTGATGAAATAAGAATGAAGCTTTTAGTAACTCCCCTAAATATTACAAACAATTATTTCAGATAAACCATATTTGATGAAATAAGAATGAAGCTTTTAGTAACTCCCCTAAATATTACAAACAATTATTCCAGATAAACAAATAAAATATATTTCAACCACCAAATGCAAGATATCTTAGTAGGTGCAGCGGGAACTAAAATGATGAATCAGACATTGTTTCTGGTGTTTTAGTTTTAGGTAGGAGATAAAAATAAACCAATAACATTACTTGTTAGGAAGTGGTAAGTGTCACAGAGCAATGTGGAAGTTCAAATATGGGAGATATTACTTCTGACTTAGGGAGGTCAGGAAAAAATGTAAGCAGCAGCAACCAGACTTTGAAAAGATGGGTAAGATTTGGTCCCATAGTAACAAGGTAAGAAAAAAGATATAGGGTAGTGTAACAAAATAAGCAAAGCAACGGAAGTAGGAAAGCAGAAAGTGGGATTGGGAACTTCACTTGAAGGTGAAGGAAAGGAATAGAAGGTAAGGCTGGAAAACAGGTTGGATAGTTACTGAGTACCTACCCTATGCCAGGCACTGTGTACCAGGGATTAGGTTAGCTGCCTAATGAACTGGTGAAGACTAAAAAATTTTGACCCCTAGTTTTAAGGAGTTTGGACTTTATTAGGTAGTACCATAAATCATAGATAGTACCTGTTCTTGAACTTATCATCACATTTATTGTGTCAGTCTCCACATAGCTACAAGAATGATCTTCTTAAAATATAAATTGGGGAGGTTTCTGGTCAAGATGGTGGAATAGACAGTCCCCAGAATCACTCTCCCCCATAAACCAACGAGTTTACAACTATAAAAAAGCAATAACAGCCAATCTGGGGCAGCTAGAGCTCAGGGAAAGAGGAGGAGAGACCTATAGAGTGCATGAAGGTGGGAGAAGCCATGATGAAAGAAAGAAAAAACCGCTCTGATGGTTTCATGCCACGGCTGCTTTAAGGCTGGAACTGCTGAGCCCATGGAGCAGGAGCCAGCAAAAGCCTCAGCTGTGCTGTTCAGATGGAGTTGCTTGGAGGCGGCAGGGGAGAAGAGGGCCTTGGTGGCCCCCAGGCCAGCATGACCACTAATGGGGTTCCCATGGACCCACATATAAGCAAGGAGCCACAACAACTGAAAAAAAGGAGCCAGTCAGAGGCCGGTGAGTCATTGCAAGGGACTGGCACATGGCCCATCCCATGGGAAGTGTTTGCAGCACAGACAGTGGGGAAAACGGGTCCACTGGGGGAACACTGGGACACAGCAAGGACAGCTGATCTGCCCCCCAATCAGCATAGGACCACTCAGAGGAGACTGGTCATGAATATAGAATAGCATGGGGTGCAGTTTGATGAAAAGACTCAGTCCTAGATCAGAGTTTCTGCACAATCCAGGTGAATTGGGTCCCTGGAGAGCCAGAAGTACCTATAAAGTCAACCGTTAAAAGCTGAGCTGCACAAAAAGGCTTCCCTAGGGAATCATCAGCAAAGCAGCGATTTAGCTAAACCACACAGCTCAAGGACTGGTCCCAACAGGAAGTTCCCCCATTTTAGAAGTAAGCAAAGGACAAAAAATTAGTTCCAGTCCAGGCACACTGCCAGTGCCTTGGGGCCCATCTGGGGTCCTGAGGCATGGATCCAGGGACTGGAACCCCCTCCCACAACCAGGCACACTGCCAGTGCCTTGGGGCCCACCTGGGGTCTTGAGGCTGGAGCAAGGGACCAGACCGCCCTCCCCAACCACGCACACCACCATCGCCAAGGAGCATGCCAAAAACATCATTTCCATGTGGGTGGCCCACCATAGCCACCACAATAACCACAGCTGCTGTGAAAGCAGCTAGATGCCACAACCACTACACAGATGTTCCACCAGCCACTGGAGGACATTGACACAAGGAGAGTCACCAGCAGAGACCAAAGAAAAGAGGAGGATGTCTCTCTCCATAAAGCCCAATCCAGAGTGACAGAAGCATCTCCTCTATGATAATCCTGGGGAACCTGAACACACCTCTCAGCATTGGAAAGATCGTCCAGGCAACAAATCAACAGAGTAACCAATATTCTTTCAGAAGGAGAGAAGAAATCTAGGGTAATTAAAGGGGAGAGAAGGGAGGGAGAGGGGGATGGGGAGAGACTGGACAAGGGGCATAAACAATATGTATGATTTGTAACAATATATATGCTGGTAATATTGATTTAATCAACATATGTCAATGTTGAACCTCCAAAATATGTATAATCAATTAAAAAAAAAAAAGGAAATTGGATCATGTCTCTCACCTGATTAAAAACCCCTAATGTCACCTCCATTTTATTTCTGGGGGTGGGGGGGATCTACATTCCTTCCTGTATCCTGTAAGGCCTGATATGATCTGGTTCTTGTCTATTTCTCTAACCTTGTCTCATGCCATTATCCTCTTTATTCACTATGTTCTAGATACCCACAGTGATTTCTCATTTCTTTGAAGCCTTATGGTAGTTTCCTGCCTGACAGCCCTTGCACATGCTGTTCTGATTGGCTGGAATGCTATTCTCTCTGCTCTTCACATGACTGGTTTGTTCTTATCCTTCAGATTTTAGCTTAAAAGGCACTGTAGAGAGACCTTTCTCAAGTACTGTATTTAAAAGCAATCAGGTCAAAGTTTTTTCATTCAGTCAATGAAAGAAAGGCTAGAAGTTCTTATGTAATCTGGTAAAATTATAATTCACATAGCTCATGTTATCTTACCTGTAGATCAATATTATAGCAAATAAATGCATAGAAAGACGAATGAAGAGAGAGGTTGAGAATCATGATAGGTTCATTAGAAGATCAAATTAGAAGGCCGGCCCGTGGCTCACTCGGTAGAGTGTGGTGCTGATAACACCAAGGCCATGGGTTCGGATCCTACATAGGGATGGCCGGTTGGCTCACTGGCTGAGCGTGGTGCTGACAACACCAAGCCAAGGGTTGAGATCCCCTTACCGGTCATCTTTAAAAAAAAAAAAAAAAAAAAAAGAAAAAAAAAAA